CATGGGAGACTGCAAATTGCACTTTTTACGCTAAACGGACCGATATCGACGCCAGAAGTTTGCTTTGTTTTAGCCAAATCTTACTCTGCTTCAGCTCTAACTGTCACCAGTATGGAATAGATCGTAGTAATTCATATAAATAAGCTTTGGATTAATCATTATTTCACTAATATTTCAAGAAAATATTAAATTCATATATGTTTATTGCAAAATAAAATGAGTGTTTATTAACTATTCATGCTTATGCTTCGCCTTGATAGACCCAATATTGTACTACGTATGACCTTGAGTCTATTTCATTAAGATCTATAAATTTCATGGACGGTTTTCAGTAGGATAGTCAAAAGTGAAAGTGAGAATAAATAATCGTAGAGAAGACACTGTCCATTGTGCAACTATGCCTCTCCAATTTCTTTAAAACTCTAATTTTTGAAAGTAAAGTGTATTGAAAGAGGAGGATAGTCAGCATTATTAAGTCATAATTCATAGTTGCGTTGCATCCTTAATGGAAAGGATTTAAAACTTAACTTAAGTAGGAAGTAAAGGCAATCATTTATCACAAGGCTACCCTTCCTTCGCAAACACAATGCATTACGCCGTTCCATTCGCTCTCAGTCTTATTTTACACTGGGTGAGTTACTAAACGAGCTTGTCTTGCTCTGCAGTAGACGCAGAGAGAAAGTCCCATTGCAGAATAGTAGGAAATTGTTTACGTTTCACGAAATTTGTGCATCGCCTTGGAGGATTTCCGTATACCAATCGTGGTGTAGAAGGAAATGCTAACACCAGTCAAGTAATTAGATATAAGAGCAAACCTAATACCTGCACAATCAGTCCCCAATCGCATTCACCAGGTCTACTTAGCAATAAAGGCAGAAAGTCAGCTTCTCGTCAGACGGACTCAAAAAGATGCCTGCCAGTCGCTGAAGTCATGTATTGCGTTACTGTGTTTCATTACTGGGTTTGAGAAGTTTGTCCCTAATGAAACCAGATTCCTCGGTGACTTAAAGGTGGGTGATTTTCTGCAAATGCTGCAATGCGCTTCTAGTTCTAATGAACAAAGGACCATGGAAATAAAGTTATCCCACATCTCGCACTTTGAACTGAGTGATAAACGAAATTGAGGTGTTGTATCTCCCATCAAAGATGCTGTTATGCTAGAAAGCTGAAGCTATTTGCCGGGATTTTTCGAAAATCCGCCCAGAATGTTTTAACGGAAAATTCCATTTCACGGACCTATTTTTGGAACCGAATATCCGCTAGCTCACCCGAATAAGCGTCCAAGGGCGATAATGCAGACATAAAATATTTTGTAGCGGACTGCTACACTAGTAAAGCCTGACTGACTCAGAAATCTCTATGGTAGTATCACCAATATCTGGCTAGACTCCCTGAACTAGCTATGCTACAGTGATGCTAGGGAGGAAAGAGTCATACTGCGGAGAACACGTTTATTGCAAATTGTGAAATCGGCAAACGCTTGAATATTTATCAAAAATAGAACATAATTTGAGTAAACATTAATAGCTAAATAACCGAGAAGAGCTCTACATGTACGGCCGCACACTCCAAATCACGGTGGGCCCCACAATTTCACTACGGTGGCTTACTCGGAGGGGTGAACTTTCAGAAAACCTCGGTATACATCCAAACTCAAGCTATAAATAGGAAATTAAAGCATTGCATTATCTGAATGAAAATTTAACGTTGAAACAGAAGAGTTAAATAAATCGATAAATGGTAATTACTCAGAAGATAATAAGCTTATCACTATTACGCTCCGGTATGGGAGTTAATAATACTCAAACCCTGAAGAATAGTTCATGTGTATATCATACACTAACTGAACTTTTATCCAAACTCGAGGTACTTTTGTACTACGAAGAAGTGAAAAATGAAATCAAAGAACTAGATCAACAATAGAAGCTAAGCACTGTTAGCATGGGGAGAGTGGGTGGGGGGGGGATATTAGTTAAAAAATGTATATTAAATAAATGAATTTCATATATTAAGAAAGAAGAGAGTATTGTATCAATCACAAATGATAAAAACAGGCGATCTTTCCCTGATCTTGGCTTTTTAAATCCTATTTTTTGAGAAGTTAGGATCTTAGTTAACAAATAATAAACTTTATCAATATGTATCGACAATATTTTTAACTTAGAATGTTTGATTTTTTCATGTTAAATTTGCATTCCCATTGATAAATTTAGTTTAAATTTCACATTAATGAAAAATTATCTCATATGATAAGATTTATTCAAATAGATATATTTGAAGGAAGTTAAAACATCTATACCATGTTACCCCAGTCAGGTATGAATGTGCACTTATTTTTAAAGATTTTATTAAATTATAAAAATTATTTTAGAATGCGTGAAAAAATAATTAAAGTTAATAAAAATAATATTTAAGAATTGAAAGCTCTCAAAATTTGCTTTTTTTAAATAAAATTCGAACAATATTCAACGATTATGATGATTTGCCGACATCACAATCAAATTTACTTTGACAAATTGAGAGCAAACAATTTTTGTTACAGTTTAAAATTTTCGCATAGGAAGGAAAAAAATAATCACTAATATTTTTAATAATTTGATTCGAATAAAACTTAATTATAAATTCAATAAATTTTATCAGCTAGGTGGAAAAGGACGAGAAATTCAACTTCTATAGCAATTTGGAAATGAAGAAACCGTTATCTATCCTCCTATTTTAGAAATATCTCTCAAGGTGGAATGTTGCAGTAAACTAAAAGTGATATCCATATTTTTCTGTAAAAAAGGTAATCTTTCTTTTCCAAAAAAACGATATGTGGGAGAACGCATTCAAGAAATAGGTTTGTTTTTTTTTATTTCTCGTCAGCTTCTTCTGCGTCTTGTGAGTGCGTCCACTGGCGGTTTCCATTAGTTCTACCTCGGGGAAGAGAGACGGAGAGCGCTCGCGATACGATCGCCTGTTCCATTGTGGTACTTAAAGGCTCATCCCCACTTCCTCCTCCACCTTCTCATAGAAAGTGTCCACCAGCTCACTTTATTTATCACCTTTCCTTTAAAACCCCGAAAAAAAACCCTCACCCCGCTTATAAGCACCTTCACACACAGAGCATTCTATAATTCTATAAGCGGTCACTTTAAATCAGCTTGGTATATTGCTGTTTGATATGCGTTTTACTAGTTTCGTACTGCAGATAAAACCTCAACCTAATAATTTCTGTTTATATAGCCGACAAGTCTGGTTTGAATCGGATTGAGATGGAAATGATGAAGTTTTACATTTTTTTTTCAAACAATCTTTCCTTTTTTTGTTTTGCTTAGTTATATCTTTTTGCTATTTTTCACGTGAATTAAATGCTATTATTTCACGTTTAAACCTAATTAATTCGACTGATAGGTCAGCATAACTTAATTGAACAGAGTCCTTAGTCTAATCTTGATGCATGAAATCTCCGACGAGGTACTACGTGAACACTAGAAGTGCTTTACTTAACCTGAACGAAAACGCAAATAACGTTTTTAGTGAGACCTGTTGAGGAAGACTGCAAATCACAACAACTTTCCCATTCTGGAGGGGGAGGAGGGGGGGGGGTAGGGGCGGAGCACGGATTAAAAAGGAATTCCTTCTTGAAAATTGAGAAGCAATGCAGAATAAAATAAAAAACGGAAATCTATTGAAATTGCATGGCTTAAGTAGACAGGCTATTAAGTATACAAGTGGTTTCATTCAATTCAAGAGACATTACGTTTAAATAGATAGATAAAATAGAAAAAATGTCTTCCACCACTTGTTCAAACATATAAATTTACAAACCAATGAACCCCCATCCTCCTTCCCCCCACCACACCTACCTTACCTACTTTAGAACAAGTCGACCGATTCCGCGGAAAGGAAAACTCCAAAAATTTAAAATTATCCATCATCTTAGTTATCTCCTTCCTTTAGTCCCCTTATTTTAGTTAACCCGGTATAGGCGCCGTCATATTCAGCTCTTCCTCCCGTTTCCTCCTTCCGATTTGCCTCCCTTTTTTGTAGCGCCAATACACATACAGCATCAGATTCTCATGGATTTTCCTAGATTCTGCCTTCTATTCTTCCACCAACCGCCCAACGGAAAAGCTAAATTATCTTTTAAGGGTCTGAACAATTGCAGTTGCTTGTCGATTGTGCATGTGATACTATAATCTAAGCTTGGAGGATGCGATTTTCTCAAGAAATAAGTTATGGGAATGCCCGAAACCGCAATAATTGACCTTCAGAATGCGATCCGCGAGTAATATCCATGACATTAATCGTAGTAAATAGATAAGCTCTTTGTTTTAATAAAACGTGCCTACCAAGGCAATATCTTTTTTCCTATCTCGTATGTCCTATTTTGCTACGTGATAATGTAATTTCGTTCAGCCTTAAAGGCGAACGATATAAGCCCTAATAAAGCACTTTTCATAGGATATTTGAGCGAAAAGTCATAGAATTAGGAAAATTGTTGGGAAATAATCAACCGATCTTTCTGAAAAATGCCCTACTTAAAACGATATCCCGCAAAAGAACTACCATAAAATTCAGGTATATGTTTTCAATTTCATTAAAATTAAAATGGGCATTAAAATTCCGTGTAAATTTCGAAGAATTTCAAGTGCTTAACATAATGCATTTTTTTGTTAAATCGGAAAAAGGCCAAAATCGTAAAATACGGACCTTGAGAAATATTTAAATATTGCACTAGAGAAAATATTTACAATACCCGTTTCTTTTCAAAAAATTTAGTTTAAGGAATTGATGTACCTTCAAGGTCATCAAATTAAGTCAATCAATACGTGTCATATTCAGTTTCTACTTGAAGCCATCAAATTCAGGAATTTAATTTTGAAATCTAACTGTTTTTCTGCAAATCGAAACTAAGAGAAAATGAGAGAGCCCTCTATCAGAAATTTCTTTAAGGAGAATTGAATTAAAATGGCGAATCAGAAGAAAATTTTTGGTTCGCAAAATTACCACTTCTACTATTCCTCAAGAAAATCCAAAACTAGGAAATAGAACTGATTGGCATTTGATTTTGCAAGAAGGATTTTCTTTAGAGCACAACTATTTTCAATGTCGGCTCTCTGCACCTCTTAGTAAAGGAAATCTTGGTAGGTCTGAATCTTTCCATTGACATCAAGTGCTAGATCTTTACCACATTATCCTAATGATGGCCTTAATCTGAAATTGTTACTGTGCTTTTTCAAGATGTAGTTAGTCAGATTCTATTTAACAGCTGTACACCAGAAGAATGACAACTTCAACATTAAGCCAGTATTAATAAATGATTTTCAACCAGAAGAAAAATGAATTCCTGCTCGACTTGAATGGGCAGAAATTGGATCATATCGAATACTACTTTCTTTATTGGCAGTAATAATACAAATTGAACGACTTTTGAATTATATCATGGGTGGTAAAATAATATTAAGGTGCTAATAATTTGATCCTGTCAATATATGAGACCGTGGATAAGATCAGTCAACAAAAATCAAGCCAAAAGTGAGAAAACCAATGCACATCGAGTCTGGTTACTAAAGAGTATGAGGGAATTCGTGTTTTTCATAAGAGTTTATTCTAGATAAGCCCCAACTGCTCAATTCAGATATTTTAATGACTTTGGCTAACGATGTTTGGAAGATTTTTTAAAACTAATTAAAATTGTTATGCAATTTTCCCCTCAAAACTCCCAAACGGGTCAATATAATTTAATAGATTCAAAGTGTTGTTGAGGCAAAAAAATCGATAGGTGTCACGCCCCTTTGATTTGTGTCAAGAACATTATATTTAAATTTAAAGCAAAAAAAAGAGAATTTTGTTCTATCATAAGTGATTTTAAAATTAAGTTAATCGTAAAGTCACTGAGGTTGCACATTTAGAATATGTTTTGTGATGGTATGATTTCTTTAACTTTTAGCCGTTGTCGTAATGAATGTCAGTTCTCAGAGCTATGCCATCCGATGTATCTCTTTTGGTTCTCAGTAATACTTCAAGAAAGAACAGTTTAGACATAAACATGTTCACATTAGCTTCCAGTCAGTTTACCATAGGTCTTTGTATTTATGTCACTATTTCGATTGATATAGTTTAATCAAATTGCTACGCTCTTGAACTTAATTTTAGCATCTCACGAACGTATTTAATTTTACTATTTGAAAAAGTATATTTCCTATAGTGATTTGCGTCCAATACAAAATTATTTTCGAATTGAACACAAAAATCCGGTATTTGATACAATAGGCAAATCTTCTGAATACCATGAAGTTGTATGCCATTTCAATTGGTAGCAAAACTTGGCATTTTCTGCGAGATTTCTGAAAGTTGCAGCTTCACAAAGAAGGAATTATTTTTTTAGTTTTTCCACCAATCAAAAGTGGTGTTCAAACTGCAACCGCTTTGATGCCATATCAATACCTGCCAGCCAAGTTATAAAACATACTAAAACAATATATCACCACCGTAAATATTTTATGGAGGGCTGGTTTCAACTATCCCAGCCATTATTATTTTTGAACTTGCTATAGTGTGAAATATTTATCTGCCAAGCTAATTGTAAGTGCACAAGAGGGCATTCAATAGGTTAATTAAAAATATTTATCACTTTCGTAGTTTATTTAAAAGAGGTCGCACTTTAGACCAAAACATTGAACATTTATCATTAATTTTGGGCCACTGACTCTAAATTTATTAAAATACGGAAATCTTCAAAGACGTCTGAAAATCCTAGGCACTCGAAGCAGTACTTTAAGAGATTGAATATCGAGTTAGGACGATCAATCAATCTAATCAAATTGTTGCTAGGCTGTGAACCCATAATTAACCCTTTTTGAGATGATATCATAAAATCTGGAATACGGAAAATTCAAATGTGGCTTGTGTGGACCTTGCAAAATAAAAAATAAAGCAAAGAAAGAATGGGAATGTTAAATTAAATAGGGTGATGACTACTTGAAACCTTACTTCTTAAACTTTTGCACTTTTCTATGGATGCTATTAAGGAATGAAAATTGAAAGAAATTTTTTTAAATAATACATATATATATATAAGTGTTAAAGTAGGGGCAAAATTTCTTACACCCCTGTTGTAACACCAAAATACGATCACAGTAAATGCATAAAAAGTTTTAAATTGTTTGAACTTGAATGAATTCCAGTGATCTCTACTATGCCTAAAGTAACCTCAAGTCCACTGACATATAGATGGTGACAAGCCTGTCTATCCTCATGACCCATGAGTTTAAATCAACGGATCTATAAGCTTCAATTATCAAGATCCTTGAATTTGGAGTTAAATCATGCAGTCCGAAAGTTATGACACTAATTGGAGAACTATAGCACTTATGGAAGGTCTACACTTCCCTCTTTTATTACACCGTAAGCTTGCAGTCTTTGTTATACCATAAGCAGAAATAATAACCATTATTCATCATCAACGTAAATGCAAACTGAAAATTAAACTCTCAAAGAATATTTGACTCAATTATATTTATATTTATTTAAAACTAAAACAATCCAGTCTATTTGAAATTAATAAACCTAGTGGTGGCGTCCCCTATTCAGATTAGTTGTGTGTCAGCTTAATGTAGAACCAAAATCAAGATTTCTAATTTATTATTTTAACCTCAATTTTTGCTCGGTTCATTAATAAATATTATACTTCTCTTTTGCATTGTTCTCACCCAAAATTTGAAAACCCGTCACTAGGTGAATCAATCTTTTCCCAAGATGTACTAGTCGAGATAATGAACGTGAAAGCTCAATTAAGATAAACAAATTAAAATAAAAAATCTCAAAATAAAATCAGGGGTTGACGCATTAATAAAGCTACTTTAATGCCAAAGTATTTAGGAAAATGGATAAATTAATTAGAGATACAGGCTGAAATCAGACACGTATTCATTATTAAATTGAAACTTAAAGGTAAAGTTCAATTCGAAACATTTCATTTAACTATCAAATGAACTATTTAAAATGTCAAATTAGATGAAAAAGAGAAATTGGCAATTGAGGATTGTTGTGGTGGTGGGGGGGGGGAGATGAGGAATAGACAAAATTCAAACAAGTTTTAGTCAGTTGGATTTCGTGTAATGATTTAAAAAAAATGGCGAGACCATGGGAAAAAATTGTACGTATTTTGGTAAGAAAACGAGGAGACTTACTTTCGATTGGTTCCGCATTTCGATTATTCCTCGCAGTTCCGTACATCATACCAGGTTGTGAATATGTATCCGTCAAAAAGTCCTCCTTTTTCAAGGTCATCCCGGGAAGATATTGATTTGTCGAGATGGTATGCACTTCTCCACCATTGACACTGTCCTCCGCTGAGAAGCGTTTCTTGATGAAGTAGATGAGGAGAATCAGAAGAAGACTGAGCCCGATAAATACGGTCACGATTAAAAGGATTCCGAGAAATGTCATCCGGTTTGGCCGACTGGGTAATGAATCGTCCTCGGCTCCAAGTGAATGTTGATTCTCACTTCCTGATCGATCTGAACCTCCCAACTCAGCATATCTATTAGCGGTAGGAGGATTCTCAGAGGAGAAGTTTGGGGGACCCATGGAATTGTTGCTCGATTCAGGAATGACTGTTTCCAGTTTTGGAATATCGTCAACTACGTGAGGTCGGATGATATGCAGTGTAACAGTGGCGTTACTATTTAACTCAGGTCTATTTGGATCGAAGGCCGTGATTTTTAGCCTATAGACACCCGTGTGATCACAAGGATCGAAATTTGCCTGAATCTCGCCATTCTGGGAGTGAAGAAACAGTGCTCCAGTATCAGGTTGAATGTAAAAGAGTGAAACGCCTTTATCCGAGTCAGTCCTTTGGTTACTAGAGTCACCAAACGGTCCTTTCACATTTAAAATCTTATAATTAATTACCGTGTTTTCCGGTAGACTGTCTGCATCGGTAGCTGTCATGTCTAGAGCAACGTAAGACTGTGTACAGGGCACCGTTTTAAGTGAACTTCCAACAGCTAGTTCAAAACGGGGTGGGGAATCATTCACATCCTCAACTTGCACCACAAATGCCAAGGTCGAACTAAGTGCTGGTGATCCCTTGTCTGCAGCGATAATGGAAAGTTCATAATGTTCTCGGCGTTCCCTATCCAATGGCCTTGTTAGAAATAGTCTCCCATCGGGGAAGAGAGTAAATGGATTTGGAGAATTTTGGTTTTGAGCAAAAAATAGGGTTACTGTACCGTTTTCGCCAACATCTGCGTCTGTGGCGTTGATGGTATGAAGAAGACTATCAACTGGTTTGTCTTCTGGAACTATTAGAACAGTTTGAGAGTGAAAGACAGGACTATTGTCATTTTGATCCAAGATAATTACTCGAAGATCAGCAGATATGGAATGATTAACAGGGCCTCCGTCGAAGACAAACACCTTAAATCCCGTTAGAACTGCTTCCTCTTCCCTATCGAATACGCTCTGAGTTGTGATCAGACCAGAAATCGGATCAATGGCCAATTTCTTGTTACCATGAGAATGAAGAGCATAAGTAAGGGTATCACCAATATCTGGATCTTCAGCTGTGATCCGAACAACCGGAGTTCCAGGAGGAAGACCCTCTGAAATAGATACATCAATAACCGATTCCGAATCTCCGTTTGTACCTCCTAGACTTACAAAGTGTGGTGGATTATCGTTCTCGTCCACGATGGTTACTTGAACAGTAGCTTCTGCAGAAAGTTGGTGCTCTTTGATTGCTCCTGGGTTGTCGTTACAGATCACGGTTATTCCCACTCTAGTTCCACGGGAATAATATCGATTATTATTGGCAGACGCAACGGCTGTTGCAGAAGTTGTTGTAACTAGTGCTTCCCGGTCGATTGGTTTCACAGCCAGAAATGCCCAGAGATTATCTCCGATTCGGGTTAATTGAAAATGATCAGAAATCATGCCTGGTTTTAAAATGCATTCTATTTTCCCGTAAGAACCTGAGTCAGTATCAGTAACAGTCACATAATCAATGTAGACGTCAGACTGACTGTTTTCAACAACTTCAGCTTGCTTTTCGCCGCCAGAAAAGCGAATTAGCGGACGGTTATCATTTACATCTTTAAGATGGAAAATTAGTTTTCCTGGTGTTGACAAACCTCCATTGTCCGTGACTAGTATTGGAATAGTAGTTTCTTTCTTAACTGACATTTCATAATCCTGCTTTGCTACAAGACACACTTCTCCAGTTCTTGAGTCCACATCGAACAAAAGTCCGGTTTTCTTTTCTCCATCAATGGAATAGGTGAGTTTCCCATAAACGGGGTCTTCGTCAATCGCTTTCAATTGTAGCAGAACCGTGAAAGGTGGCACCGATTCTGGAATTTCAATAATCCATGTATCTACAGTCTCATTGACAAGAATTATAGCAGAATTGAGAATATTTGGCTGCTTCCAAACGGGTTGATGATTGTTCACATCATCCAAATGAATCTTCATTTGAAGACTTCCAGAATGTTGTCCATCAAAGGCATTCACAGTACAATGGAGAGGCCACTGACCATCGAATTTGAGTTGTTTATCAACACGAAGATCAAGTCTCTCTGGAGTGTTTATGTCATAGACCAGACTGAATGGTACGTCTGTTTCAGGACAGGAGAGAGTGTACGAATTAATTGTGTGCTCAGGATAAGCGTCAGCATCATTACCAGGTGGGAGTTTTGCCAATTCTCCAACTTGAGCGTCTTCTTTGAAATGCACATTTATTGTCGGAGTGGACCCAAAATGTGGAGCAGAAGATGGTGACCGGAAAGTAGGTGGGTTGTCATTTTCATCGGCTATACAGATGGGTAAATCAATTACAGAAGGAAGACCAATTTTCTTAGATGGAATGGCTACAATTCGAAGAGGAATAGAACAGTCAGGACCGGAACCCAGTCGATTTGGATGACTGTTTCCAGTGTGACAATCACATCCAGGTTCCGTCTGGCATAACCGCTCTCTGTCAATTTGTTGAAGGGTCACTAGGTACCATGGCGATGAAAGAGTAGACGGTTCTTTTGGAAACCAAATTCGAAGGTGGTTTTGATGTTGCTGACTTGAGGTTAAATGCACCCCTGGAGAGTCAGCAATGATTCCAAAATATGGGTTTGTATTGGCCACCTGAAGAGTAAACTGGTCAATGTTGCCAAGGAGAGAGGAGATATAGGGTAGAGTGATAAGGTGGCCACGAGCGAGATTCTCTTGTATAACAATGCTGCAATTTGGAGGGAAATGAGCAAATATTGAATGAAGGAAAAGAGTGAGAATGAAGAGAATGAGATTATACAAGTGACTATTCATCATTTATATAAATTTAGCTAAACTAGTTGTCATTCTCCATAACATTGAATCATTATTTTCAGCTAGCTGCAAATTTCTGCACGTGGATGAAGCGTGAAAAATGAATAGAGAAAATTATGTTCTTTCTTGTGTCTGATTGGTTACGAGGATCGGCCAATAGCATACGTATTAGAGTCTAATTGGACAAATAACGGAAAATAATCATATCAATTAAATGTAGTGCTTATTGGGTCTTGACAGCTATCACAGTTAACTAAATTCCTATTAGCCTTGCAAATGTAATAAAATTTATAATTTTTTTCCATATTAGTGAGATGAAGCGTCGAAAGAATTAAATTTTCATCCAGTTCATTTAGATAGCGAAAGAAAGTACGTAGGCCTCTAATTGAAAAATTTTCACCCGTTAAGTTAATTAAAAGCTAACTTATGTACACAATTGGAGAGCTCTGTCTCTCACTATATCATTGATGGTCTCTAGTTGACCTCTAAATATTGCCTGTAAGAAATTCATTAAATAAAGATTGCCACCTAAAGTTAATTACAACGAAGGGGTGAATACCTTCCAAAGTTGAATTTTGTATGAATAAGGAACAGTGAAATCAAAACTTTTAATTCTGAATGCGTTTTTATTGTTTCAAGTCACCTTGCTTAGTCTGAGATATTTGAGAGCGTGTAAGCTTTTCAAAGTGTGTGCTGCCTACGTCTGTCTCAAAATTTCTCTCGAACTCACCTGATGCCTTATATTTCTCACTATCACCACTCAGTCAAGGTTGAAGGTGATTCGCACGTCTCCTTCCCCCTATTCTCCTTCCTTTCGTTTCACATCGGTGTACAATGCTTACTTTCGCTCCCATACCTTGATTTTATAATTTGGGGAATGCTTCAATTACTCGTTTGTCTTTGTGAAAAATAATGGGTTTTAGTGGATAGCCCCTTATCAAGGGCCCTGCTGATAAGATGCTACTCAAAGTCCAATAAGTACAGAAATTTTCCGAAAATCCGCTCAGGGCGATAAAACGGAAAATTCCATTTCATGAAACAATTTTTGTAACCAAATGACCGCTCACTCGAATAAGCGCCCATGGGCGATAATGGAGAAATCCCTAATGAAACACAGAGTATTTTAAGAAACTTCGTGGGAGCATTTATGTAAAATAAACCTAAATATGGCAAATATCAAATTTATTACATTAATGTTGCATTTTTTACTAATTTGCTTATTAATGCTTATATTATTAAAGTTCTAAGAAATAAACTTACAACTAAACCACATTATTCATTTTATGTATTCAATCACACCGAATTCTAGCTTTTCTTCGGATTATTAGAGAAATTCCATAGCCATAAATTCTGCGATTTTTTTCATAAATAGTTTGTGACAAATTGCTACTTTAATCAGCGTTTTGGTTAGCTCATACACAGTTATTCTATTGCTACATTGTATTTGGGTACTTGCCTAATTTTAGCAAATGAATCAGTCTGGAAGAGTTGGGAGGTTTTGGCATTTTCAGTTGTCACTACAAATATAGACGCGGATTGGGAAGAAATTCAAACAAACCGGAAATTATCATCCAGCCCTCCCTCTCGCTTATATTGCTTTCCTCTTTCTGCCACTTCTTGTTTTCCTATTCACCAGAGCGTTAAGAGGACGGAAATGTTGAAGCAGTCTGCTAATGTTTGACTCAAAGATGTGCCTTATTTACCAGCTTTTGGCTGCAAGAAATACTCATGCATAAGAGCGCTCAGGTGGCAAATATTTTACCCAAACATAATTTTCGAATTGAAATTTAAAAGAACTTCTTACTTAGCGAACTACGGCAAACTTTTCAATGGAAGTACTTCAGTTTTCCTCTTATCGATGTTCACAAAGTCGTGGCTATGACTACCTTGAAACCCCTTGCCACTCTCACCCCCCCCCAATATTAGTCATGCTAAAAATCGATATCCTGGTTTGGACTTTGCTTGGAGCCCACAACTAAACAGCTGCTTTCCATCGAGTGTAAGATCTTGGTAAATAAGATAATTAGGAATTTGATGCTATTTATTTGAAGTTCCTTGATTGGTTAAATATTCCCTGTGGGACGAAATAGGTTTTGAATATATCTGAAGTGATGGGAATTAACAGGTAAACACTGTACTTTATATGAACTCATACTAATTGGAAGTAAGCTTTTAGACCCTTTTTAATTTTTTTTTGAAAAGGAAAACAATGACTTTTCGTATATCACGTCGCATACAGTGTTGGAAACCGCACACAAAAACAAGGCGTTTATAGAACTGAAATTCGGCCTGAAATCTTGATCGTAATTTTTCAATTTATGACTTCTAAGCACGATCACTTTCTTCAAAAACTAATTAGCCACATTAGGCATTTAATTTTAAATAATACTGTCATATACTTAAAACATTCTTCTATTCATTAAATGAGATACTGACAAACGAAAGTTCTTTGCTGACCGTTTCATTTACTATAAATTCATGGACTGAATCATTTCAAAAAATGGAAAAAAATAACAAATCCAAATAATCGATTATCTAACTTATCAATTATCACTTGTTCAATATATTCTACCATTGGAAATTAATCACTCTAAGTTTATTGAATAAACTAATAACATGTAACTATAAAATGCTCTTAATAACTTTAATCTTTAATTTTAAATCTTTAATTTTCAAATATTTACACCGGATGTTAATTAAATTAAGTAATTACTTTATTAATACTATGCGCTGCTCCAATACAAGTATCCAGGTCACGACAGCGTTCATTTTATATTTAATTTGGTGTAAATTTGACTGGGTTATGGATTGGCAACTAATACTTCCACAAACGCCTCTTCAATTATTTTCTCAACAAAACCATCTTTTTCTTTGGGTAATGTTTTTCTTATTTAATTGGAATAAAAATTCATTCAAAGCTACCTTTAAGGATGCTGGGCAAGCTCAGTAGTACGACTTCTGAATTTTATTTTGACAAAATTGATTGAAAAGTATGATAGAGAAAAAAAATTTCAAGGTTGATTTTGCGATTTCCGTATTGTTACGTGACAGCCTTCTTCAACTAATGATTTTATCTTTGTTCTAATCGATATTAGCCTTAAGGTAGGCCATATCTTGGAGAGCAGGAGGACAAACAGATTTGATAATGAGCACAGTTATAGAAAACCCCAAATTACATAAAAAATGATGCTTACTGCATATTTGACAAAAGTTTGAAAGCTATTCAGTACGCATTAATATTTATTCCTATTACTTGCAAAAAATTTAATAATAATAATAAGTCTTTGGTTTTATGCTGATCCATGGTTAATCGGGGTAATTTGAAAATATCATCATCTGTTAGTCCTTCATTTCTGGCATGCATATCCTTCCTATAACATCCTCAAAAATAACATTGATTAAATTTAATTGAAACAAAGTAAGGGCTTTCGGAAATGGCGTTAGTGTGAAACGACTACCCCACCACCCCCACCCCCCTCCTCACCCGCCAAAATTAGCCAGTGCGATTAGTTCTCCATGAGTATTTGTAGTGTGACCTCTTAGCATAGCTGATGTGCACATTAACTTCTGAGTATTTCCACTATTAAAAATTTTCATCTGTTCTTCACTGAACTTAACTGTAGTAGTGAAAAGTATTCTGTAGTCAATCTTACGAAAATTCACATTTTACAAACCTTCTCGTAGACCACTCTCAAACAGGTTGGCTGTTCATTCACTCCACTGAATGTGCACTAATAGGCTTTGACCGCTGACAAGACAGACTTTCTCGTCGGCCACTCCATGTTCAGTGTCATTGGTAGGGAGTTAATGCATTAGAATTTTGAAGATAGACAGCAAAACGCTGCAATGCCAATAGGAATGATTAAATGATGACAGCCTTTCGCGTGAGATAGAGATATAGATACCCCAAAGCAATGGCAATTCTTTCTACCCTTCCTATCCTGATAAGGTTCAAGATGCTTAGAGTGACATCATCAACGAAACTTCGAAGGAGGTTGGGTTTACATGTTTATTCCAATGTGTACCTATTCTTTGATATTGAGCCACACTTGTTGACATCCTAGCACATTTATTTACTATTCTCTATAGGGTGGGAATACAATTTTCATCGTTTTAAGCTTTTGAATACATGAAATAGTAGGGAAGGGGGGTGAGTACAGTAAAGAGTTACAACGAGGGAATCCAGCATAAGCGAAAAATTGAATCATGCACTAAAAGTGCCTTGGTAAAGTCATTCATTCATCCATTTCAAATGGCAGGCGTTTTGATAGTTATCATTAGCCCTTTACCTGACTTCGAGCTTCACAGAGAGGAGGAGGAACATGAAAGTGACAAAAAGTCGAGAGGGGGGACAGAGTAATGATTTAAAGATGTAAAAGAGAGACCAACAGACACAGAGGCAGAGAAAAAGTAAGATGAGTACTGTGAAAGGGGTCAAATATGGCATACAGGGGGGTGGTGGTAGTTTGAAGTGAGAAGTCAACTGCCGGTTAATAGAATTTTTTGCCGTATGAGTATACGTTGCTCAGGTTGCACTACGTGGAGATAAGTCTATCGCACACCTCATCTATTCAATATAATCAATCGCATTCTTCAGGTTTGGTGCTCTTCGCTACAAAAATCCAACGCTGAAAAGTGAGGCTCCTTTATGGTCAATAACAATTTTAATTTACTTCCCTCTAGCGTACTTGCTTGCTAAGTCGGCATTCGAAAGATCGATTCTACTGATATGTGTGTGTGTGTTTGTGATTCACCGAGCAGATTAATTCTGGTCAAAAGGAGGAGTGGAAGAATATAAATTTCCCATATTAGCGTCTCTAGTCAAATGCTGTTTTGGACTTTGGGGTTATTAATCAGAACATATTTTCCATCGAACATGGTACTTTAAAGAAGTAAAAGTAAGCTGAATAAATTTTTCACGTGTTTGCCCTTCACCCATTTTACTTCCACTAAGACAGCCTTCCGTTTATATTGAGGTTCTACCCCAGTTTTTCTCCCAGTTT